ACCCTTTGACTCATAGGAGTCTTCAACTTCGTATTGTGACCCCTTGTTTCTGTGCCCCATCTCTGGAACATCCTGTGTCACCCCTGACCCTCATGTCCTCCAGTGTTGTCAGGCCGATTTCCCTTAACCTTTCTTCATAAGACAATCCCCTTAGCGCTGGGACTAGTCTTGTTGCGAACCTTTGCACTTTCTCTAATTTCTTGACGTGCTTGACCAGGTGTGGATTTCAAACTGGTGCTGCATACTCCAATATGGGCCTGATATATATGGTGTACAGAGTCTTGAACGATTCCTTATTGAGGTATTGGAACGCTATTCTCAGGTTTGCCAGACGCCCGTATACTGCAGTAGTTATCTGCCTCAGGAGATGTGCTCGGTATTATACTCGCCCCAAGATCTTTCTCCTTGAGTGAGGTTGGCAGTTTTTGGCCACCTAGCCTATACTTTGTCTGTGGTCTTATTTGCCCTTCCCCGATATTCATGACTTTGCTTTTGGCGTGGTTAAATTCAAGGAGTCAGTTGTTGGACCAGGCTTGTGGCCTGTCCAGGTCTCTTTGTAGTCCTGCCTGATCCTCCACCGATTTAATTCTTCTCATTAACTTCATACCATCTGCAAACAGGGACACTTCTGAGTCTATCCCTTCCATTATGTCATTCACATATACCAAAAATAGCACAGGTCCTAGGACTGACCCCTGTGGAACCCCGCTTGTCACAGGCATCCACTCTGACACCTCATCACGTACCATAACTCGTTGTTGCCTCCTGTCAGGTATTCTCTGATCCATTGCAGTGCCTTTCCTGTTATGCATGCCTGATCCTCTAGCTTTTGCATTAACCTCTTGTGAGGAACTGTGTCGAAGGCCTTCATGCAATCCAAGAAAATGCAGTCTATCCACCCCTCTCTCTCGTGTCTTACTTATGTTGCCGTGTCAAACAACTCAAGTAGGTTTGTGGCACAGGATTTTCCTTCCCTGAAACCGTGCTGGTTGTTGTTTATAAGCCTGTGTCTTTCTAGGTGCTCCACCACTCTCCACCTGATGATGATCTCCATGACTTTGCATACTATGCATGTCAGTGACACAGGTCTGTAGTTTAACCCTTTGAGGGTCGACAGGCCCTCTCCGAAACTCGTTCTCAGGGTCGGCCAAATTTAAAAAAAAAAAATTATTTTCTCTTATGAAAAGATAGAGAATCTTTTCCCGATCATAAAGACACCAAAAGTTTGAAATTTGATAGAAAACTTACGGAATTATGCTCTCGCAAAGTTAGCGGTCTCGGCGATGTTTACGCATCGGCGATTTTGCCCACTTTGAGCCCCATTTTCGGCCAATTTCACTGTACTAGTCGACAAAAAACAGGAATATTTCGCTAGAACTCCATTTTTTCTATCGAATGGGTGCAAGAAACCACTCATTTATGAAATTCAACTATCCAGTACAGTGGTCAGAATTTAGCAATTTTGCCAATTTCACACAAATTTCAAAAGATGCCAATTTCCGAATAGGGTCCAGAATAAACAAGAAAGACATTCCTGGCACTAAAATGACATTTCCTCTAGTCATTAGTCACGTCTCAAGGCCCCTCTTATATTCTTTTGCTTTCCACTTTGAATTTTTATTCTCACAAAAAATATAAGATTTACTGTTATGCAGACTACTGTATTAGTGTAAAAAAAGGTATAAATATTATTGGTGCACTTGTGAAAGAATATTAGACTCACCAGTTGACGTGTATTGCACGCTTGGCACGATTTGTTTACTTTTGAAGTTTGGTAAAAATCGAACATTTCTGCTACTTTGAGCTCAATTTCAAGGCACCTTTCTTTGTAAAACCAGTCAAAATCATCTCAATTTCTGTAATATGTCTTCCATTCTATAAAATGAGACCAAGAAAACTAGAATACAACAATAAATACCATACGAAAATACACTGCAAAGTCCCTGATTTATTAAAGAAAAATGGTCAAAGTTTTTTTTTTCTCATTATGCACTGTGTGCTGCAGGATTTTTTTTAGACTGTGCACACTGACCACATAGACCCATTCTTTCATATGAAGGCCTACCAGCTTTCTCCCACTAGATTTGAGGCCGCTAGAATTTATGAGTACTAGTACGTCAAAAACCCCTACGCGTAAGACGTACTAGTACGACGAAAACCCTCAAAGGGTTAATGCCTTGTGTCTGTCTCCTTTCTTAAAAATTGGAACTATGTTCGCTATCTTCCATACCTCAGGTAGCTGCCCAGTTTCAATGGCCAACTGTGTGTGTGTGTGTGTGTGTGAGGGGGGTGTGTACTCGCCTGTATGTGATTTCAGGAGTCAAGTTACAGCTCCTGACCTCACCTGTTCATTGGTTGCTACTTGATCCACATGCTCCTGGCTTCAAAAGCATTAGTGTACCCCTTCTTAAAGCTGTGTATGGATCCCACATCTACTTCTTCACTCTTCAGATTGTTCCCTTCCTGACAACTCTAAGGCTGAAGAAATAGTTCGTAATTTCCCTGTGACTCGTCTGAGTTTTCAGCTTCCAGCTGTACCCTTATGTTTCTATTTCCCATTTCTGAAACATTGTCTCTATTCACCTTGTCAGTTCCTCTCAGTATTTTGTACATTGTTATATCCCTCTAGTCCTCCTGTCCTCTAGTGTCATCAGGTTGACTTCCCTTTTAACCTCTTCTTATAGGACATACTCTATAGCTCAGGGACTAGTCTTGTTAACCTCTACACTTTCTCCAGTTTCTTGATATGCTTGGCCAGGTGTGGATTCCATACCTGTGCTGTGTATTTCAATATGAGCCTGATGTAAACAGTGTAGTGTTGTGAATGACTTTACTTAGATGTTGAAAAGCTATTCTTAGATTTGCCAGATGTGCATTTGCTGCAGCAGTTATTTGGTTGATGTTTGCCTTGGGATATGCTCACCATGATACTCTATGATCCTTCTCCTTGAATGAGGTTTGCAGCCTTTGACCCCTGAGCCTTTACTATTTGTGCAGTCCTATTTGTACTTCCTTAAGCATTATAACTTTGTACTTAGTTGGGTTAAACTTCTGCAGCCATTTGTCACACCAGACTTTCAGCCTGTCCTGATCCATTTGTATCCTTTTCTGGTCCTCGTCCATTTGTACTCTCTTCATTAGTTTCACATTGTTTGTGAACAAAGATACCTCTGACTCTATCCCTTCTGTCATGTCAATCACCACCTGTACAGGAAACAGCCCCAGCTCTAGGACTGAACCTTGTGAAACCCTACTTGTCACATGCACCCATTGTGACACCTCATCACAGACCATCAATCACTGTTTCCCTCCCATCAGGTATGCCTTGATCCTGTGAGGTGCTTTACCTGTTATTCCTGCCTGTTCTTCTTACTTTTGTACCAGTCTCTTGTGTGGTACTGTGCAATCTACCCATGCCTCTCTTGTTTTACTTCTGTCTTCTTTCTTTCTTTCAACACACCGGCCATATCCCACTGAGGCGGGGTGGCCCAAAAGGAAAAACGAAAGTTTCTCCTTTTACATTTAGTAATATATACAGGAGAAGGGCTTACTAGCCCCTTGCTTCCGACATTTTAGTCGCCTCTTACAGCACGCATGGCTTACAGAGGAAGCATTCTGTTCCACTTCCCCATGGAGATAAGAGGAAATAAACAAGAACAAGAACTAGATAGAAAATAGCAGAAAACCCAGAGGGGTGTGTGTATATATATGCTTGTACATGTATGTGTAGTGTGACCTAAGTGTAAGTAGAAGTAGCAAGACGTACCTGTAATCTCGCATATTTATGAGACAGACAAAAGACACCAGCAATCCTACCATCATGTAAAACAATTACAGGCTTTCGTTTCACACTTACTTGGCAGGACGGTAGTACCCCCCTGGGTGGTTGCTGTCTACCAACCTACTACCTAGGTTACTTCTGTCACCTTGTACAATTCCAGTAGGTTCATGACACAGGATTTTCCATCCCTGATGCCATGTTGGTTGTCATGTATGAACCCACTTCTTTCTAGGTGCTTCACCACTCTTCTGATAATCTTTTCCATAACTTTCCAAATTATACATGTCAGTGATACTGCCTGTTTCCTTTCTTAAAAATTGGGACTATATTTGCTGTTTTCACAGACTGGTAATTTCCTTGTGTCAGTAGACTTGTTGCTAGCAGCACTCACAGTGCTTCTGTTCCCTCTCTCAGAACCCACCAATGCCTTTGAGGTACCTAGTTCACATAGCAGCTTCTTCACCTCCTCCCTGGTTGTGTGTATTGTGTGCAATGAATGCTGGTGCACTCTGCTGCTTTGGTTTGCTGGTAGCCTTTCTGTCTGTCTGAGATTGCTTCTTTAAATCTCATGCAAACCTCTTCACAGACTTCCTGGTCATTTTTTGTTAGTTCTCTGCCTTCCTTCTTCAGCCTGATTACTTGGTCCCTGACTGTTGTCTTCCTCCTGTTGCATATAAGAACCTTTGGCTTCCAATACCACTCTCAAATTACCATTGAGCCTCCCTTCTTCTCCGTGCATATTTGTTACCGTGTATGGGGGGTGTATGTGAGTGTGAATGTGTGCATACATGCTCACTTCTATGCACTCATCTGTATGTGGTTGCAGGGATCAAGTCTTAGCTTCTAGCTCTGTCTTGACTGCTGATTGCCAGATTCACTCTCTCCTAGCCTTATGGGCCCTCCCATACCAAGTCTTAAGACTAGGTTACTCCACTTCGTGACTATCCTGAGTGAAAAAATACTTCCTGACATCTTTGCGACTCATCTGTCCCCCAGAGTACCTATTTCATACCTCTCATGTATAAGAGAGAGATGTATTATATTAACTTATTCTTACAGATGTTTCGTAGGCTAAAACATACAAGTTGAAAAAAATTGTGATCACTATACTTTAGATTATGACAAAAATATTTCCTGTGGGCCCTATGAAAATCACTTAGGGGTAAATGTATAAGTGAGTGAATTATTGGCAATATTTTAATGATGATGTAATTTGCAGATAAAAAACAAGAATGGCATGTGTCTCATGTATCAGCTGATACTTTCTTGGAGAATAAACACATGAACTCATGTTCGCCATCCTTTTCTGGAGATGCACGATTGAAGCCCCTCTTTAATATTTCTAAGAAACTCCTTTCATCACAGTCACTCCTCCTAGCAAGTAAGTATGTGTGATTGATTTATCAGTTATTTCTCATTATCCCTTTAAGGGAGGTACCTTCATTCTGGTGAAGGGCTCTTGATCCAGAGAATTGAAACATCCTTCTCCTTCTTTGGATTGAATCTGATTACCTCCCATTCCCTTGGAACTTTATGATCCCAGTGGGTTTATTGTTTCCCCATGAATGTAATAATAATTGCTTTCCACCAAGACAGGGTGACCCAGAAAAGTGTACCACATTCACCATCGCTTAATTCCAAGCTGTCTTTCCAGAAGGGCAAGGACATGACAGTGTTAATGATCCTCTGATACCAAACATAACCACTCATCTTTCAGAGTTTGTGTATTTTTCCATTCCACAGCTCTTATGTAGAGCTGACTGCTTTTTCACACTTGTCTTTCCTGGAACATTTATTCTCTCCTCTTTATGTATCACTAACTACTGTACCACTTTGTGCTTTCCTAGCAACTTTTATCTCCAATATTTCAAGATGTGTCTGTGGAGAAATGCCTTAGATTCAAATTACTTTTCATTTTATTTGCTTTTTGTATAATTGTTTAGTAGGTGCATTTGCCTTAGCTTTGGCCTATTCTAAATATAAATGAAGCTTTCTGCTGATTCCACTTCATAAACAATAAGGCACTACTGTATAAAAAACATTGGCTTTCTAGTTGGTAGGTATCCCCTAACATGGAAATCTCACGATTTTTCCCCATATATTTTTTCTCATACCAGATTCATACCTCATTTCAAGCTAGTGTGTATTGAAACTTAATACAATTTACTCAGCAGCTAGCTTTTGTGATAGTTAAACTTTAAGAAAAGGTTTTTCTTTTTAATTCATTTGATACCCTCTAATATTTATCCTTGCATTTTCAGATGTTGTTCCCAGTCGTGGTTTCAAAACGCAACAGTCTATTGAACGTGAAGCTCTCAGACAGTCAACAGTTACAGATAGGTTGAGAGATGGATTGAAATCAAGACAGCGGTCAGTAGCAGCTAGGACACTTCAACAAGAGACAGAGCACAACACCAAACTTAAGAGTAAGACATGGGGAGAAGCCATAACATATATTTTTTAATTGAAAGAAATCTTCTTTCAACAAACTGGCCCAAAAAGAAAAATTTAGTGATGTATACAGGAGAAGGGGTTACTAGCCCCTCGCTCCTGGCATTATTAAAAGAAATGTTTGTTTAAAGATTGTAGATTATCAAAACCTGAATATAACTGTGGAAAGATAACTGAAAAGAATGGTATTTTATCTCTGGTGTGTTGAAGTGCACAGTTTGAAGCTAAGTACAATTACCCAGTCTTGCATAGGCCTTTATTTTTTTTTTTCATCACATTGGTGGTTTTCCACCAAGGAAGGGTAATTCAAAGAAGGAAACCCATTCACCAACAGTCAATAGCTATTGTTATAGAAGTGCACAGACATTATGCAACTGGTATTTAACTTGATGGGTTTACAGAAACAATAATAGTATTTAAAACAATATTTTTGTACAGGTTTAATGGCCGAGGAGGCCACAGAAGAAGGCCGCAAAGCCTTGAAGGTGGCATTTGCTGAAGGATACCTGGCAGGTGATCCTCAGAAACACCAGTCAAGGGCGATGAGGTGGATACGAAACTTGCAGCAAGTTTTAGCTGTTGTAGTATTCATAGCCATACTATTCTCTTTGATGGGTGAGTACTTTATATTCTGTGCTTGCTATTGTTGTTTAACCTTTAAACTGTCCAAACGTAGATCTATATTCACCTGCGTAGCGCTCTGAATATTTTGAAAAATACTAATTTTTTTTTTTTTTAAATGAAGAGTGAATTTTTATAAATGTTATAGGATAAAAGAAAAATTTAGGGCCAATACTTACTGAGAAAGGTGGGCTGGGTATGAGTAGTAGGGGGGTTGAAGAGGGTTGGAATAGTTTTAAAAATGCAGTAGTAGAATGTGGGGCAGAAGTTTTTGGTTATAGGAGGGTAGGTGCAGGAGGAAAGAGGAGTGATTGGTAGAATGATAAAGTAAAGGGTGTGATAAAAGAGAAAAAGGTAGCTTATGAGAGGTTTTTACAAAGCAGAAGTGTTATAAGAAGAGTAGAGTATATAGAGTAAAAGAAAGGTGAAGAGAGTGGTGAGAGAGTGCAAAAGGAGAGCAGATGATAGAGTGGGAGAGGCACTGTCAAGAAATTTTAATGAAAATAAGAAAAAATTTTGGAGTGAGTTAAACAAGTTAAGAAAGCCTAAGGAACAAATGGATTTGTCAGTTAAAAACAGAGAAGGAGAGTTAGTAGATGAGAGATGGAGGTATTGGGTAGATGGCGAGAATATGTTGAGGAACTTTTAAATGTCGACAAAGAAAGCGAGGCGGTAATTTCATACACTGGCCAGGGAGGTATACCATCTTTTAGGAGTGAAGAAGAGCAGGATGTAAGTGTGGGGGAGGTACGTGAGGCATTACGTAGAATGAAAGGGGGTAAAGCAGCTGGAACTGATGGGATCATTACAGAAATGTTAAAAGCAGGGGGGGATATAGTGTTGGAGTGGTTGGTACTTTTGTTTAATAAATGTATGAAAGAGGGGAAGGTACCTAGGGATTGGCAGAGAGCATGTATAGTCCCTTTATGTAAAGGGAAGGGGGACAAAAGAGATTGTAAAAATTATAGAGGAATAAGTTTACTGAGTATACCAGGAAAAGTGTACGGTAGGGTTATTATTGAAAGAATTAGAGGTAAGACAGAATGTAGGATTGCAGATGAGCAAGGAGGTTTCAGAGTAGGTAGGGGATGTGCAGATCAAGTGTTTACATTGAAGCATATATGTGAACAGTATTTAGATAAAGGTAGGGAAGTTTTTATTGCATTTATGGATTTAGAAAAGGCATATGATAGAGTGGATAGGGGAGCAATGTGGCAGATGTTGCAAGTATATGGAATAGGTGGTAAGTTACTAAATGCTGTAAAGAGTTTTTATGAGGATAGTGAGGCTCAGGTTAGGGTGTGTAGAAGAGAGGGAGACTACTTCCCGGTAAAAGTAGGTCTTAGACAGGGATGTGTAATGTCACCATGGTTTAATATATTTATAGATGGGGTTGTAAAAGAAGTAAATGCTAGGGTGTTCGGGAGAGGGGTGGGATTAAATTATGGGGAATCAAATACAAAATGGGAATTGACACAGTTACTTTTTGCTGATGATACTGTGTTTATGGGAGATACTAAAGAAAAATTGCAAAGGTTAGTGGATGAGTTTGGGAGTGTGTGTAAAGGTAGAAAGTTGAAAGTGAACATAGAAAAGAGTAAGGTGATGAGGGTATCAAATGATTTAGATAAAGAAAAATTGGATATCAAATTGGGGAGGAGGAGTATGGAAGAAGTGAATGTTTTCAGATACTTGGGAGTTGATGTGTCAGCAGATGGATTTATGAAGGATGAGGTTAATCATAGAATTGATGAGGGAAAAAAGGTGAGTGGTGCATTGAGGTATATGTGGAGTCAAAAAACGTTACCTATGGAGGCAAAGAAGGGAATGTATGAAAGTATAGTAGTACCAACACTCTTATATGGGTGTGAAGCTTGGGTTGTGAATGCAGCAGCGAGGAGGCGGTTGGAGGCAGTGGAGATGTCCTGTCTGAGGGCATTGTGTGGTGTAAATATTATGCAGAAAATTCGGAGTGTGAAAATTAGGAGAAGGTGTGGAGTTAATAAAAGTATTAGTCAGAGGGCTGAAGAGGGGTTGTTGAGGTGGTTTGGTCATTTAGAGAGAATGGATCAAAGTAGAATGACATGGAGAGCATTTAAATCTGTTGGAGAAGGAAGGTGGGGTAGGGGTTGTCCTCGAAAAGGTTGGGAGGAAGGGGTGAGGGAGGTTTTGTGGGTGAGGGACTTGGACTTCTAGCAAGCGTGCATGAGCGTGTTCGATAGGGGTGAATGGAGACGAATGATATTTGGGACCTGACGATCTGTTGGAGTGTGAGCAGGGTAATATTTAGTGAAGGGATTCAGGGAAACCGGTTATTTTTATATAGCCGGACTTGAGTCCTGGAAATGGGAAGTACAATGCCTGCACTTTAAAGGAGGGGTTCGGGATATTAGCAGTTTGGAGGGATATGTTGTGTATCTTTATACGTATATGTTTCTAAGCTGTTGTGTTCTGAGCACCTCTGCAAAAACAGTGATTATGTGTGAGTGAGGTGAAAGTGTTGAATGATGATGAAAGTATTTTCTTTTTGGGGATTTTCTTTCTTTTTGGGTCACCCTGCCTCGGTGGGAGACGGCCGACGTGTTGAAAAAAAAAAAAAAAGGAAGCTTCAGTACTTTGGATAACTTATTGCATTTCAAATTTGTGAATACAGAATCTTACAAATTTGTAGGATGACTGTATACAATTTTAGTTTTGCATGATTTTTTAATGTTTGTGATTTTATCATAAACACTATAATTATATGTGTAATTCTTGTTTATAAAATATTTTAATTTTGTATGTGTACATTGTTGCAGGTGGCATGGGAGGATCTTTATTTAGGATGCATGTCGGAAATGGGAACGAGGTCCATCCAGAAGAAATTACCGTTTCATTTGAGGATGTAAAAGGGGTAAATGAGGCATTTTAATTTCACTTTTTTTTTAAGAATTGAATTACACATGTACATACTTTATGCAAATTCTTGCCTTGCACTTAGTAATATTGGTAGTGCTTAACAGGTGGATGAAGCCAAGCAAGAACTGCAAGAAATTGTTGAATTCTTAAGAAACCCTGAGAAGTTCACTTCTTTGGGTGCTGAGTTGCCAAAGGGTGTTCTCTTGGTGGGCCCACCAGGTACTGGCAAAACACTTCTTGCTCGAGCTGTAGCAGGGGAGGCTGGTGTTCCTTTCTTCCATGCTGCTGGCCCTGAATTTGATGAAATATTGGTTGGACAGGGTGCTCGTAGAGTGCGTGATCTTTTCCGTAAGTCTTCATTCTTTATTTTGTCAGATTTGGATTATCTGTAACATTTTCCATTGACAGTTGATCATTAATTACCTGACAGTTGGTAATTCTGAATTTAACATTATTATGTCATCTTCATCAATCTGGCACTAAACAGATAATGCTAAAAATGGAATGTTCAGCAAAAAGGAGCCATAAGGCTGATGTGATCATCTGAACAATCAAAGATCTACTCTATTTATTTAATACAATACCATGTTGCTTTGACAATTTTCTTCTTCTTATTCTTTTTAGTAATCTTTACAGGAAAAGGGGTTACTAGCCCATTGTTCCCGGCATTTTAGTTGACTTTTACAACACGCATGGCTTACGGAGGAAAGATTCTTATTCCACTTCCCCATGGATATAAAAGGAAAATTAATAAGACCAAGAACTATTAAGATAAAATCAAAGAAAACTCAGATGAGTGTGTATAAATAAATGTGTACATGTATGTGTAGTGTGACCTAAGTGTAAGTAGAAGTAGCAAGACATGCCTGTAATCTTGCATATTTATGAGACAGACAAAAGACATCAGCAATCCTACCATCATGTAAAACAATCACAGGCTTCGTTTTACACTCACTTGGCAGGACGGTAGTACCTCCCTGGGTGGTTGCTGTCTACCAACCTACTACCTACAATAATAATATTTATAATAATATTTATAATAATAATATATTTATAGATGGGGTTGTAAAGGAAGTAAATGCTAGGGTGTTTGGGAGAGGGGTGGGATTAAATTATGGGGAATCAAATTCAAAATGGGAATTGACACAGTTACTTTTTGCTGATGATACTGTGCTTATGGGAGATTCTAAAGAAAAATTGCAAAGGTTAGTGGATGAGTTTGGGAATGTGTGTAAAGGTAGAAAGTTGAAAGTGAACATAGAAAAGAGTAAGGTGATGAGGGTGTCAAATGATTTAGATAAAGAAAAATTGGATATCAAATTGGGGAGGAGGAGTATGGAAGAAGTGAATGTTTTCAGATACTTGGGAGTTGACGTGTCGGCGGATGGATTTATGAAGGATGAGGTTAATCATAGAATTGATGAGGGAAAAAAGGTGAGTGGTGCGTTGAGGTATATGTGGAGTCAAAAAACGTTATCTATGGAGGCAAAGAAGGGAATGTATGAAAGTATAGTAGTACCAACACTCTTATATGGGTGTGAAGCTTGGGTGGTAAATGCAGCAGCGAGGAGACGGTTGGAGGCAGCGGAGATGTCCTGTTTAAGGGCAATGTGTGGTGTAAATATTATGCAGAAAATTCGGAGTGTGGAAATTAGGAGAAGGTGTGGAGTTAATAAAAGTATTAGTCAGAGGGCAGAAGAGGGGTTGTTGAGGTGGTTTGGTCATTTAGAGAATGGATCACAGTAGAATGACATGGAAAGCATATAAATCTATAGGGGAAGGAAGGCGGGTAGGGGTCGTCCTCGAAAGGGTTGGAGAGAGGGGGTAAAGGAGGTTTTGTGGGTAAGGGGCTTGGACTTCCAGCAAGCGTGCGTGAGCGTGTTAGATAGGAGTGAATGGAGACGAATGGTACTTGGGACCTGACGATCTGTTGGAGTGTGAGCAGGGTAATATTTAGTGAAGGGATTCAGGGAAACCGGTTATTTTCATATAGTCGGACTTGAGTCCTGGAAATGGGAAGTACAATGCCTGCACTTTAAAGGAGGGGTTTGGGATATTGGCAGTTTGGAGGGATATGTTGTGTATCTTTATATGTTTATGCTTCTAGACTGTTGTATTCTGAGCACCTCTGCAAAAACAGTGATAATGTGCGAGTGTGGTGAAAGTGTTGAATGATGATGAAAGTATTTTCTTTTTGGGGATTTTCTTTCTTTTTTGGGTCACCCTGCCTCGGTGGGAGACGGCCGACTTGTTGAAAAAAAAAAAAAAAAAAAAAAACCATGTTGCTTGCCTCTTTGCATGTTTATTTTCCTGTTTCCTTTTACATTCTTGCTAGCAATTGCATATTAACATTCATCTTTTCCAAAACTTCCAGTATTTTTATGCTAGGAAGTGGTGATTAATTTGCTTATGGGATAATCAAACTTGCATGAATAATTTCCAACAAGCATTTTGAGGTATTCTTTAAAGTTTTTAGAAAATAAGTGAAGAGTTTGTCAGTATGATCATTGTTTGAATACTCTATACATAGATAACAAGGAATAAGTGATGTAGGGTGAAACAGAATGATGATAATACATAACTAAAAATCTTGCTCAGTGGAAATGCAGACATAAGCTTTTATTTATGCTTTACATACACAAGTTAAAAATTTTTACAAGTGTCTCGAGAGCATATAGGTGTTATCGGCACACACACAAGCTATTACTTTATGTGGATTTAACCCAAAATAGCTCAATAAAGTAATAAAAAAGTATGACCTATTACCATTGGGGTTTTAACTTCTTTAAAACTTCTTTCAAAGCAGTCCTAACAAAAAACTTTAGAGAGATTTAGGTTCAGTGTATGATCTGTCTTAATAAGCTTAGTTTTTATTATTTGCGTCTTTATTGTCTAGTTTAACCCTTAAACTGTCCAAACGTAGATCTATGTTCACGTGCCTGGCACTCAGACCTTTATTTTCTCCATTTGAAAGCATGTAAAAAAAAAAACATAGATCTACATTCAAAGTGCTACGCACGTGTACGTAGATCTACGTTTGGACAGTTTAACCCTTTGACTGTTTCAGTCGTATATACACGTCTTACGCACCACTGTTTCTGACGTATTTGTACGCATAAATTCTAGCAGCTTCACATCAAGTGGGAGAAAGCTGGTAGGCCCACATGTGAGAGGATGGGTTTGTGTGGTCAGTGTGCACCACATAAAAAAAATCCTGCAGTGCGTAATGAGAAAAAAAAAACTGACCGTTTTTTTGGGGGGATTAAAATGCCGACTTTGAGGTGTATTTTTGTATAGTATTTATCGTTGTATTCTCATTTTCATGGTCTCAGGTGATAAAATGGAAAACATGTTACAGAAATAGAGATGATTTTGATTATTTTCACGATGAAAACGACCTTGAAATTGAGCTCAAAGTAGCGGAAATGTTCGATTTTTACCAATGTTCAGAAGTAACCAAATCACACCAATCGTCCAATACACTTCAACTGGGGAGTCTAATATTCTTTCATTAGTGCACTGATATTATTTATACCATTTTTACAATAATGCAGTAGTCTGCATAACAGTAAATTTTGTATTTTTTTGTATGAATAAAAAATCAAAATAGAAATCAATAAGAGGGGCCTAGAGATGTGACTAATGAACAGAGGATATGTTATTTTAGTGCCAAGAATGTCTACATTGTTTATTCTGGACCCTATTTTGAAATTGGCATCTTTTTTAATTTGCGTGAAATTGGCCAAATTGCCAATTTCTGACCACTTTATTGAGTAGTTCAAATCGGTAAATGGGCGGTTTCTTGTACTCAACTGATATAAAAAATGGAGTTCTAAAGAAATAGCTATGAGTTTGGTCAACTGAAACAATGGAATTGGCCAAAAACAGGGCTCAAATTCGGCAAAATCGCTGATGCGTATATGTCTCCGAGACCGCTAACTTTGCGGGAGCGTAATTCCGTGAGTTTTTGACCAAATTTTGGACTTTTGGTGTCATTACCATCGGGAAAAGATTCTCTATCATTTCATAAGAAAAAATAATTTTTTTTTTTTTTTTTTTTTTTTTCCCAAAAAATTTATTGACATAGAATGACAGTTTCAGAAAGGGGCTTGCGACAGTCAAAGAGTTAAGGATTAAAAAGATTCCAAGGCAGATTATTTTCCCTATATTTTTGTTCTTCCATTTAAAATGTTGCACTAATGTGAAGCCAAATCCAGCATGTGTAGAATTTTTCTCTTAAATGTTTGAGGTGTTCCTTCAAGAAATATTATACCTTATTGAAGGTCAAATATCTAGGAACAATTTTACAGCTTAGGGAATAATATTTAAAAAATGGAAAGAGAAACATAGTATGTATAAGATTATATTTTACTGCTTAGTCAACTTACCTTATTTATATTTTACTGTTATATTTTAGGTGCAGCCAAGATGCGTGCCCCTTGTGTGATTTTCATCGATGAAATAGATTCTGTTGGTGCTAAACGCTCCAACTCTGTGTTGCATCCATATGCCAATCAGACAATTAATCAGCTGTTATCAGAAATGGATGGGTTTCACAAGAATGAGGGTGTTATTGTTTTGGGGGCAACTAACCGTCGAGATGATCTTGACAAAGCTCTGTTACGACCTGGTAGATTTGATGTGGAAGTCCAGGTCAGTTAATTTTGTTTCAGTAGTCTGATAATGCATTGCATAAAATATGGGCTTTCTTGTGCACTGAATAAATACTGTTAATCTGTATTTGTAATGCTGTGTGTCTTTTCAGTAATGCATGCAATACCAGCAAGATTAGATATGGACACATGTGCAACACCTAAGCATTTTTGTTACAGTTAGCTTGTGGCTTTTTCAGTTTGTTGCAGAGGTGATATGTGAAAACAGTAAAGATCAGGTAATCAATCTCTCAGCCTTGCAGAACTATACACAGAAGATAGTGGAGGATAAGATAATCAACCAGAAGCTGTTGTTTATAGCCTTAATCTTGATGAATCAGATTAAAGTACAGTAGACCCCCGGTTTTTGTATTTAATCCATTCGAGAAGGAGGCAGTTGGAGGCAGTGGAGATATCCTGTTTAAGGGCAATGTGTGGTGGAAATATTATGCAGAAAATTCGGAGTGTGAAAATTAGAAGGTGTGGAGTTAATAAAAGTATTAGTCAGAGGGCTGAAGAGGGGTTGTTGAGGTGGTTTGGTCATTTAGAGAGAATGGATCAAAGTAGAATGACTTGGAGAGCGTATAAATCTGTAGGGGAAGGAAGGCGTGGTAAGGGTCCTCCTTGAAAAGGTTGGAGGGAGGGGGTAAGGGAGGTTTTGTGGGCGAGGGGCTTGGACTTCCAGCAAGCGTGCGTGAGCATGTTAGATAGGAGTGAATGGAGACGAATGGTATTTGAGACCTGACAAGCTGTTGGAGTGTGAGCAGGGTAATATTTAGTGAAGGGATTCAGGGAAACCAGTTATTTTTATATAGCCATACTTGAATCCTGGAAATGGGAAGTACAATGCCTGCACTTTAAAGGAGGGGTTTGGAATATTGGCAGTTTGGAGGGATATGTTGTGTATTTTTATACATATATACTTCTAAACTGTTGTCTTCTGGGCACCACTGCAAAAACAGTGATTATGTGTGAGTGAGGTGAAATTGTTGAAGGATGATCAAAGTATTTACCCTGCCTCTGTGGGAGATGGCTGACTTGTTAAAAAAAAAAAAAAGTAATGTGTGTACTGTTAATGCTGTATTGTTAATGTGTGTACTGTTTATAGACCTAGCTCTGTTGCTCACTTAATATATGATATTGTAAGCATATTATCAGGCTTTTATATGCATTTAAAAGTGGAATTACTAGCCCCTTGCTTCCGGCATATTAGTCACCTCTTATGACACCCATGTCTTACTGAGGAAGAATTCTGTTCCACTTTCCCATGGAAATAAGAGGAAATAAATAAAAAAGAGTAAGAAAATAGAAGAAAACCCAGAGAGGTTTTTTTTTTTTTTTTTTTTTCAAAAAAACCGGCCGTATCCCACCAAGGCAGGGTGGCTCAAAAAGAAAAACGAAAGTTTCCCTTTTTAAATTTCGTAATTTATACAGGAGAAGGGATTACTAGGCCCTTGCTCCCGGCATTTTAGTCACCTCTTATAACACTCATGGCTTACGGAGGAAGAATTCTGTTTCACTTCCCCATGGAGATAGGAAATAAACAAGAAAAAGAACTAGAAAGAAAATAGAAGAAAACCCAGAGGGGTGTGTATATATATGCTTGTACATGTATGTGCAGTGTAAGTAGAAGTAGCAAGACATACCTGAAATCCTGCATGTTTATGAGACAGAAAAAAGACACCAGCAATCCTACCATCATGGAAAACAATTACAGGTTTCCGTTTTACACTCGCTTGGCAGGACGGTAGTACCTCCCTGGGTGGTTGCTGTCTACCAACCTACTACCCAGGTGGTAATGTCTTATTGTGCATAATTTATGAATTCATCTTTATTATAGGTATGTAAATGAAAAAAAAACTTGTATGTAGGGTTCACTACTATCTGCAGTTTCAAGCATCTGTGGTGGGTTTTAGAACGCATCATCCGTGGATACGGGGGGACTACTGTATATAAAATATGCAATAACTTTTGAACAGTTGAAACTTTGGAAAGTTTCCAGACAGAATCAAGAGAGAAGTGTAGCTCACAGAGAATGTAGACACACTGAGAGAAAGAAAATGATGCATGGACTCAGAGCTTAGGCTGTGATGGCAAATCAAGAGCCACATAACAAATTTTTGGGTATAATTTGAAACGGCTGTATTAGCAAAGCACTGAGGAGTGAAGCACCATAAAGCAGGGGCCCTTTTGTATGTTAATGGAACACTGTGTAGGGTATAGGAAACCATACCCCCGGCCGGGATTGAACCTGCGGTCTTAGTCTCAAAACTCCAGTCCGTCGCGTTAGCCACTAGACCAGCTAGCCACAATAAGATTCATCCAATTAGGTATATTTCTACACCATAGGAAGGTTAGCACAGGCACCACTGTGACCACAAATGCAAGTTTTTACAGACGAATCTCCAGCTAGCGTGGCTAACGCGACGGGCTGGAGTTTTGAGAGACTATGACCGCGGGTTCAATCCCGGCCGGGGGTATGGTTTGTTTGCAATCGTGTCATTACGATTTCTTGAGTTAGGGTATAGGACTTACTTTATAAACAGTGTGTAAAATAGTTGTTTGCGATTTGTGGAACTAAACTATAGCATACGTATTTTTATTTAGAGTAGTACCAGCATGAATGATGGTATGGGTTCAAGTCATTTGAATTTTAATCTCTGGACTTCCGAAAAGGCAGTGAGAGATTAAATAATAGATGTTTCCTTCTCTGGATCACCCTGGGAAATAGCCAGTGTGTGAAAACAAAAATATTTCTGTTAAGAATTATTGTGTATTTTAGTAGGTCCTCCATAGGACCTTTATTTTTTTTTTTTATTATCACACCGGCCGATTCCCACCAAGGCAGGGTGGCCCTAAAAAGAAAAACTTTCACCATCATTCACTCCATCACTGTCTTGCCAGAAGGGTGCTTTACACTACAGTTTTTAAACTGCAACATTAACACCCCTCCTTCAGAGTGCAGGCACTGTACTTCCCATCTCCAGGACTCAAGTCCGGCCTGCCGGTTTCCCTGAATCCCTTCATAAATGTTACTTTGCTCACACTCCAACAGCACGTCAAGTATTAAAAACCATTTGTCTCCATTCACTCCTATCAAACACGCTCACGCATGCCTGCTGGAAGTCCAAGCCCCTCGCACACAAAACCTCCTTTACCCCCTCCCTCCAACCCTTCCTAGGCCGACCCCTACCCCGCCTTCCTTCCACTACAGACTGATACACTCTTGAAGTCATTCTGTTTCGCTCCATTCTCTCTACATGTCCGAACCACCTCAACAACCCTTCCTCAGTCTTGTGTAAAAGAGCTTTGAAAGCATCTCTCTCGTGAAGTGAATGTTAATATGAAATTTAACAACTGGAGGTGTTGCAGTGCAGTGCCCTCAGAGATTATCTTGTTTATGTATATCTGAGAGAAGAAGGGTGGCATCCATCAAGGGGTCTTTCAGAATCATCACACATTTTTGCTAGCTTTCCATATCTTTTCAAAAGTAATTAGATATTGTCGGTTGCAGGTTCCTATTCCAGACCTTGCAGGGAGGAAAGAGATCTTTGAATACTACTTGGGTAAAGTAAAAGGTGGAGATGACATTGATAAGAATGTACTCTCCCGAGGCACAACAGGCTTCACTGGTATGTATTTACTTCAATTGTAATCATACATATAACATTTATTTAAGTAATGCATGTAGAGACAAAGATGAAGCTTTATATACAAAATTACTGAACATGGATGTGGGATTGGGATGAAATAGAAGCTGTAGCTGTATTTGAAGTCCATATTTTGTAATGTTTTAAGCAAGTTTGTAGAAACAGTTTAAAAAACTTTAATTCTGTACTATAATTGAATTGATTGTTAACCCTTTCAGGGTCCAGAGGCCAAATTTCAAAGTGTGCACCAGTGTCCCATAATTTTCAAAAAATAGTTTTGTTATTTTTCTCATGAAATGGTAGAGAATCTTTTTCTGAAGGTAATAAAGCAAAAACTACGAAATTTGATGGAAAATTGACGAAATTATGCTCTTGCGAATTTTGATGTGTCAGCGGTATTTACGCATCGGCGATTTTGCCGAATTTGACTCCCATTTTAGGCCAATTACATTATTCCAGTCGACCAAATTCTTAGATATTTCACTAGTATTACTTCTATTCTATCGATTGAGCCCAAGAAATCGCCAAGTCAACTGTTTCAGCTACAAAATAAAGTGATTGGAAATTGGTAATTTGGCCAATTTAATGCAACGTTCAAAATATTCCAATTTCAAAATAGGGTCCAGAATAAACAATGCAGGCATTCCTGGCACTAAACTAACATTTCCTCTGTTCATTAGTTATGTTTTCAGGCTTTACAAATGAATTCCATTTTTATTTTTTATTCACATAATGAATTTTTATTCAAACCAAAAAATAGAAGATTTACTGTTATGCAATATTGTAATAATTGTATAAATAATATCAGCACATTTATGAACGTATATTAGACCAACCAGCTGGCGTGTATTAGACATGTGAGGTCATTTGTTCACTCTTGAACATCGGCAAAAATTTAACATTTCCGCTACTTTGGGCTCAGTTTCAAGCCATTTTCAGTATTAAAACCAATCAAAATCATCTCTATTTCTGTATTGTATCTTCCATTCTATCAAATGAGACCAAGAAATCACAAATACAACTATAAAAAACATACGAAAAAGCACTGCAAATTCGCTGTTTCAATCAAAAATTATGGTCTCAGTTTTTTTCTATCATTATGCACTGTGTGCTACAGGATTTGTTTTATGTGGTGCACACATACTACCTAGATGTATTCTCTCATCTAGGCCCAAATTTACCGCTCACAGCTTATCAGTGTGAGCTGAGCTCATGGCGTAGATCTACGGTTTGGACCTTTATTTATTTAACCCTGAAAGGGTTAAATAATGCATAGAATAGTAGCAAACTGAGCTGCATGTAGATCTAAAGAAACTGTATATAGTGCTTTACATATAGTACTGTATTTCTTTACATAGTGTATCTTGTGTCCAACACTTAGTCCTGCTCACCTAGAGTAGCCTCTCATTGCTTAGTGACATATTCGTTTACCAATGCCTCGGACTTACGACAGGCTCTGACCAGTATTCATACCTAAATAATTTATATTAGAGCTAATTTCCTTTATTATCTTTACTGTATTTCAACATACAGTCCACTACTGTATAAACATTTAAATCTATACCAGAAATTTTATAAATGGTGTAAAGGTGACCTTAAAACAATATCAGAGATGGTTGACACAAACTCACTGCCATTATGCAGTGGAACCCCGGATTTCGGCTGCAGTCCCTTCCAGAAGATCAGCCTAAATCTGAAAAGGCTGAAAACCGAAGTAATATTTCCCATAAGAATTAATGTAAATACAATTAATCTGTTCCAGACACCCATAAATATTAAGAAAAAATACATTTTTTAAAGATTAGCTGTAGTTTTACATACACAAAGCAATGAGAACTAAATAAAATGACTAATGAAATGGATGAATGAACATTTAACATCACATTTACCTTTATTGAAGATTCTTGTTGGCATATGGAAGACAGGGAGGAGGAAACAAGGAGAACTGATTATTGTTTGGAAGGGAAATCCCCCTCCATAAGGACTTAAGGTATCAAGTACCTATCTGGGGTTACTTCCTTTCTTTGTCTTTTATGGGCGTTAGGACCGGCATGAGAGTCACTGCACCCCTGTCGCACAAAAAAAATGTCCAGAGAGGTCTGTTTCTGGCATGTTTTTAAGATTTGTCTGAAGTGGGACAAGGTTTTGTCACTGAACACGTTGCAGATATGGCTTGTTTCAGCTTGGTCAGGGTGATATTTCTCCACAAAACTTTGCACCTCACTCGACTTTGCACAAATGTCCTTAACCCTTTGACTGTTTCGGTCGTATATATACGTCTTACAAGCCACCGTGTTTGACGTGTATATACTCATAAATTCTAGTGGCTTCAAATCAAGCAGAAGAAAGCTGGTAGGCCCACAGGTGAGAGAATGGGTCTGTGTGGTCAGTGTGCACCATATAAAAAAAATCCTGGAACACCCAGTGCATAATGAGAAAAAAAAAATCCGACCTTTTTTTTAATTAAAATGCCAAATTTGTGGTCTATTTTCGTATAGTATTTATGGTTGTATTCTTGTTTTCTTGGTCTCATTTGATAGAATGGAAAACATATTATAGAAATAGAGGTGATTTTGATTGGTTTTACTATGAAAAGAGCCTCGAAATGGAGCTCAAAGTAGGGGAAATGTTTGATTTTTTGCCGATGTTCAAAAGCAAACAAATGACATCATTTTCCAATAAATGTCCAAGTAGCCATTCTAATATGCAGTCATGAATGGATTGACATTATTTGTACAATTATTACAGTATTGCAGTAGTCTGCATAACCGTAAATCTTCTATTTTTTGTTTGCTTAAAGCTTCAAATAGAAAGCAAGAGTAATATCAGAGGGGCCTGGAGATGTGACTGATGAACAAAGAAAATGTTATTTTAGAGCCAGGAATGTCTGCATTGTTCATTCTGGACCCTATTTTGAAATTGTCATATTTTTTAATTTTCATGAAATTGGCCAAATTGCAAATTTCTGACCACGTTATTGGGTGGTTGAAATTGGTAAATGGGCAGTTTCTTGTACTCAGTCGATAGAAAAAATGGAGTTCTAAAGAAATAGCTATGAGTATGGTTGACTGGAACAACAGAATTAGCCAAAAATAGGGCTCAAAGTGGGCGAAATCGCCGATTCGTAAATATCGCCGAGGTCACTAACTTTGCGAGAGCGTAATTCCACCAGTTTTCCATCAAATTTCATTCTTTTGGTGTCATTACCATTGGGAAAAGATTCTCTGTCATTTCATAAGTTTTTTTTTTTTTAAATTTTGCGACCCCATGAGACACCTCAGGATTTGGGGTTGTGACAATCAAGGGGTTAAAATAGTGACTTTGTGGTGTATTTTTGAATGGTTTTTATGATTGTAGTCTCGGTTTCTTGGTGTCATTTGATTGAATGGAAGAAATACAATAGGGCCCCACTTATATGGCAAGTTAGGTTCCAGGCTACCACCGTAAAGCAGAAATCGCCGTAAAGTGGAACACCCTTTTTTGCTCTTATAAATGTATATAAATACAAGATAGGTAGTAGGTTGGTAGACAGCAACCACCCAGGGAAGTACTACCGTCCTGCCAGATGACTGTGAAACAAAAACCTGTAACTGTTTTGCATGATGGTAGGATTGCTGGTTTCTTTTTCTGTCTCATAAACACGCTAAGATAACAGGGATATCTTGCTACTCCTACTTACACTTTGGTCACACTTCACAGACACGCACATGCATATATATATATACATACATCTAGGTTTTTCTCCTTTTTCTAAATAGCTCTTGTTCTTTTTTATTTCTTCTATTGTCCATGGGGAAGTGGAAAAGAATCTTTCCTCCGTAAGCCATGCGTGTCGTATGAGGCGACTAAAATGCCGGGAGCAATGGGCTAGTAACCCCTTCTCCTGTATACAATTACTAAAAAAGAGAAGAAAAACTTTATAAAACTGGGTTGCTTAAATGTGCGTGGATGTAGTGCGGATGACAAGAAACAGATGATTGCTGATGTTATGAATGAAAAGAGTTGGATGTCCTGGCCCTAAGCGAAACAAAGCTGAAGGGGGTAGGAGAGTTTCAGTGGGGGGAAATAAATGGGATTAAATCTGGAGTATCTGAGAGAGTTAGAGCAAAGGAAGGGGTAGCAGTAATGTTAAATGATCAGTTATGGAAGGAGAAAAGAGAATATGAATGTGTAAATTCAAGAATTATGTGGATTAAAGTAAAGGTTGGATGCGAGAAGTGGGTCATAATAAGCGTGTATGCACCTGGAGAAGAGAGGAATGCAGAGGAGAGAGAGAGATTTTGGGAGATGTTAAGTGAATGTATAGGAGCCTTTGAACCAAGTGAGAGAGTAATTGTGGTAGGGGACTTGAATGCTAAAGTAGGAGAAACTTTTAGAGAGGGTGTGGTAGTAAGTTTGGGGTGCCAGGTGTAAATGATAATGGGAGCCCTTTGATTGAACTTTGTATAGAAAGGGGTTTAGTTATAGGTAATACATATTTTAAGAAAAAGAGGATAAATAAGTATACACGATATGATGTAGGGCGAAATGACAGTAGTTTGTTGGATTATGTATTGGTAGATAAAAGACTGTTGAGTAGACTTCAGGATGTACATGTTTATAGAGGGGCCACAGATATATCAGATCACTTTCTAGTTGTAGCTACACTGAGAGTAAAAGGTAGATGGGATACAAGGAGAATAGAAGCATCAGGGAAGAGAGAGGTGAAGGTTTATAAACTAAAAGAGGAGGCAGTTAGGGTAAGATATAAACAGCTATTGGAGGATAGATGGGCTAATGAGAGCATAGGCAATGGGGTCGAAGAGGTATGGGGTAGGTTTAAAAATGTAGTGTTAGAGTGTTCAGCAGAAGTTTGTGGTTACAGGAAAGTGGGGTGCAGGAGGGAAGAGGAGCGATTGGTGGAATGATGATGTAAAGAGAGTAGTAAGGGAGAAAAAGTTAGCATATGAGAAGTTTTTACAAAGTAGAAGTGATGCAAGGAG